TTTTTTTTTTTTTTTTTTTTTTTTTAATGGGGATGAAACATGTGTCGCTGTGACGTGCTAGTAAATTTTTCATTTTCGCCTCACTTTGTTCCGTGATTCAGAATCTTTCTTTCTTTTCTCTCTTTTTTTCTTGAAAACACTTTTATGTGTAAATGCATGCAGTCGGAGTATTTAAGGAACGACGCCGGTCGGAGATCTAATCGGACAACGTGTGCGATCTGCATCGGTCAGACTCTCGACTCTGTATTGCCCTCAATTTCACGCAGTTCCTCCCTCGGGACGATATGCAGATGAGAAAGTGATATATCGTCCGGAGGACTATCCGCTAGACGATAAAAATATCCGTGCTGTGTGGTGCAGGCAATCAGTTTGACCGAAACCTTGACACTTGACATTGGTGTCCAACAGTTTCTGTTCTAAAAATTTTTCTCGCGACTGTAACAATCTGCAGGAGTTGTTTTATTTTTTTTCTGAGAAAAGACATCAGATTTAATTTTCCATTCGACTCGGCCTTTCTTCCCCTTTGCGCGTGTCTCATCTTGAAAATTTGAACACCTGGATTAAAAGTTCACCGTAAATACAAGGACAAATTAATCGAGCTTGCGTATAGACGAGCTAATGCTAGAAGGTAGAAGGAAGAAGAGAAGGGATTGAAAAAAAAAGGGAAGAGAGTGTAGGAAAAGATAGGTAACGAAGGAAAGAAAAACATGAGGTAGGCCAGAAAGGAAAGGAAATAAAAAGAAAAAGGAGGGAAAAGAGAGAAATGAATGATAGGACTACGAAGAAAAGCAGGAGAAGAAAAAGAAAGATATGGAAAAAGGAGAGATAATGAAAGGAAAAGAACGGAAAGAAAATGAACAGATGTAAAACAAGAAGGGAATGGGAAAGAAAAAATTAAATAACAGGAGAAATAAGAATGGAGAAAAAAAATATAATAATATAAAAAAGGTAAAAAAAAAGGAAGAATGGAATAAATCAATGAAGAAAAACGAAGGGAAAAAGAAGAAAATAGCGACGCGATCAGATATTTCCTTTTCAAAAATTTAATGATTATTTAATGATTATATTTTTATCTCAAAAAATTTATCTAATTACAATATAAATTTTTCAGAGATCCAAATATTTTTCGTGCTCATTTGCATCGAAATGAAGAAACAAAGGCGCCGTTGGGATAATTGGATTAGATACATATTTTTCAAAAAATTTGTCTAATTACAAAAATACAAATATTTTTTTCCCCGGAGATTCAAATATCTTTCTTGCTCATTTGCATCGAAATGAAGGAACGAAAGGCAGCCGGTCCGGATGATCGGATTAAACACACATTTTTAAAAAAGACTTGTCCGATTGCAAAAATACAAATTTCTTTTCGAGGTTCAAATATCTTTCTTGCTCATTTGCATCGAAATGACAAGGGACAAAGGCACCGCTGGGAAATTTGACAGATTTCCCGGCGTGATCAAAATAGGTTCGGTCTTTTCGAAAGTCCAGAGACGCTTAACGGTGACAAATCGAAAATGCCGGCTCGGCAGCTCGCAAAAATGGTTCGTGCAAATCGAAGCAGCTTAATCCCAAATGCGAGAAGAATTCAATGCGAGCCGTTTCTCTGTGCCGGCGAAGCTCGACGCTCGATCCCGTCCTTTCACCGAGTTTTCCCATTTCCTATCCCACGACATTGAATACATTTTGCGTGTCGCTACGTTTTTGCAACCCAAAACGCCACAGATACGATCTTATCCAAGACCTCGTTCCTATTATCCGAGAAAAAAGTCATTTAAATTGCTCATTAGTCTGTTAGTTGAATCATCCCTCAAAGTGAGAATTTTCTAATAACACCGTCGTAATCTTATTATCTGTAACCACTGTAGATAATTTCTCTTACACTTCGTCTAACGTCGAATCCCACTTGCCCAAATTTACCTGTTAAAAATGACGAACTTCAGCTATTAAAACCTCTCGACGCTCTATATAATCCTTTTTTTTTTTTTCTTCTTCTTCCTTTCCAAAAAGTCCGACGAACAACGTCAAAGGGAAAATCGCGAAAAAATTCGACTCCTTCGCTAGAGGGAAATTCCTTTTTTTGCGAATGTACAGTTGCACCTCGCCGATGGAACGCCGTCACGTCGAATATGCTCTTTTCACATCGGGCTCGTTTTTGCCTTATCCGGTACCTGTCTACCGATTGTCTGCGCGAGATATACTGACGTGTAATCGCGAAAGCCCTGTTCCATCCCGTTGGATTTAATTCGAGCCGACGCTTTAACGCTTTAATCTAGCTTCCAGAATCTATACCCTCCCCCACTCTCTTTGGCGAGAGGGAGAAGGAGGAGGATGGGAGATAATTGCTCATCGCCAAGATATAACAAAAGTAAAATACAGCTTCTTGAGCTCGAAATATGTATCTTCCTCTGTGATGCTATTGCCGTTGAATAGCACTAAAATGCAATACGTGCTCGTGCAGCTGGAGCTGGAGAGGCAAAGCGAGCAGGGAGACGTGAGCAATTACCAAGCAAACGGTGAATTCGACCTGGTCAATTTCTCAGCGAGAAGAAACATCGAGTACTACTCCTGTTGTCCGGAACCGTATCCAGATATTACCTACGAGATACGGCTACGACGACGACCGACATTTTACGTCTTCAACTTGATACTTCCGTGTATACTGATCAACAGTGTTGGTAAGTATCGAGTACATCCACTGTACTGTTTTCTTCTCTGTTAGAATTGTTAAAATTATTGGCATTATTATTACCAAAATAACGAGTTACTCTTGCAACAGTTTGTATGAATTTCATTCACTTAAGCTAGATTTTAATTAACGCTCGTAGATCAAGCAGACTCGTGCTTTGAACATCATTTCTTATTACGCGAGCGAGAAATTACTCCAATTGCCCTTGTAAAAATTCGTACGAACGGATATTATCAGTCAAATACAGCTATTTAATATATTTAGGATAATAATATATTTGGACACAGATTGAAAACTCATTGTTCTACGTGTTGATAGAAAGATGAGAAAATTTGCACGATCGTGATGATACATATTCAGGCAAACTCTAGTCCTTATTTATAAGATAGTAGGTCAAGCGTTCTTATCGACTCTAGAGAGGAAATTTCATTAAAACTCTCCAGTTGTAAAGTCAC